ATCCACTCCTTGAAGGGCGACTGCTGAGCGATCTCGCGGGCGGCTTTAAAGCCAGCAACAATGGTGGCAGCATCGTAGCCCTCCGGATCGGTGAAGTACCGAAAGTCCAGGGCGGGCTTGACGCTGGGATCAGCAGAGGTCAAAAAGAGACGGCCACGGGAGCGGGGGCGAGGAATATTAGGGGTCATGCAGAACGCATCTGCCGGTGTGTCATAACCCAAACGAGTGGTGTTCAAGCAGAATGGGATCTGGTAGCAGTGCATCATGATATCGGCGGCGCGGCCGTCAAAACCATGTGCGTTGGGAAGCTCGCGACGTAGGAAGATCCCGGCATCAGAGTCCATGGTAGTCTGGTTGGGAGGCACAGGACGGTTGAGTTCCCAGATGATAATACTCTCGGGGTGGTCCAGGAGGTTCTCGCCGACACCAGGGATGTCCTTGACAACCTGGATGCCAAGAGAGCTCAGCTGCTCACGCGGACCCAGACCGGAGAGCAACATCAGGCGAGCAGTATCAACGGCTCCTGCGCAGAGAATTGTCTCCTTCTTAGCCCGTAGGGTGTGTTTAGTGCCAGACTGCAGCGTGACATCGACACCAGTGACAGTGTCACCCTCAACGTTGACGCGTGACACCCAAGCGTTGGTCAGAATGGTCAGATTCGGACGCTTCTCCTCACCACGGAGAATAGGGTGAATATAAGCAACACTGGCGCTGCTACGGCGGCCATCGTCGGGATTGTAAGAGACGGAGAAGAAACCAACACCCTCAGTCAATTCACCCTTGGAGCGGATTTCTTTGTTGAAATCGGAGATGATGGGGATGTTCATTGCACTGGAGCAAGCCTGAACCCAGTCCTTGCACAGCTGATTACGGTGACGACTGTGAACAGGCTGAACAGTGTTGCGCAAATTGTCAAGGACACGGGTGAAGGTCTCGAAGGACCAGCCTGTGCAGCCGGCCTGTTCCCATCTCTTGCAATCGTATTCGAAGGGACGGAAAGAGATCAAGGTATTATGGCTGGAGCAACCACCCAGCACCTTAGCGCGAGAGTGACGGATATGACTGTTGCCTGTATAGATTTTAAATGAGTATTAGGCCTAGATCTTTTTGTTTACTGGGCCAGGGCTGCTCGGTTTCTACATACCCATTGGCTGTTCGGTTGTACCGTAGTCATAGTCCAACTCGCCTCCCAAAAGATTCAACCACTCACGCAGGTTGAGCACGCGATCATCCATGTAATCACTAGGACCGCCCTCAATCACCAGGATGCGCTTGTTGGGCAGGTACTCGGCCAAACGGCTAGCAATGACACAGCCTGCTGTGCCACCTCCCACAATTATGTAGTCATAAATGTTGACATCGCCGGCGGGAAAGTCGTTGGTGGTTGCCATGCTGAACAAGATGAAATCCAATCCAATCCCAACGTAGGAGATTCAGGTCGTGAGAAAGTATCAAGGATAACAAAGATTGATGATAGGGAGGGGACGGGCAGGGCGGGAAGGGTAAAAGAGAGAAGACGGCGGGGAGGAGGGGAAGCGGATGGCTTTAAATTGAGTATTGGAGAGGGAGACGCGGCGAGTCTGTAGAGACCCAAAAACTATCAGGCCATGTTTTCTACTGCTAGAACTTGCCAACAGTTCCCTTCATTCCCACTTCATGTTCTCCCGCTCACCTTTTTTCCATCTGCTTCTTTTCTTTTTTTTTTTTTTTTTTTTTTTTTCCTCTTTCTTCCCTTTTTCCTTTTTTTCCCATAAATTTCTTGGACTGAGAAGAGAATCCCCACCCCAGGATAAGGCACTGAGTCCGGATCATCCAATAATGACAGTCGTAGGGCACAGAGTACGCCGCAGTGGGGCACTAGCTCAGCCTCGGCGGTGTGCCCATTGGAAAGCACTTAGTCTACTCCGTACTGTGCAGACTCGCAGAGACGGTATCTTCTAGGTCCGTACATAGTAGTTGAAAACAACAACCTCTTATGTGCATCCCACACAAATTCTAACTGGCCAAGAAATTTCATTCCTATTTCTTACTAATTGATAAGCCCGAGTCGGCATCCTTCCCCTCCTCCGACCTGGAAATCTTACTGTCCTTGCACTGTGCAGTGCAGACTTATAAGTACTAGAAAATGATGGCTTCGGCTCAATATCCTGCGCACTGCACTGTACCGTACATGCTGTATCGCGCGGGACGGACCATTAATGCATAAGTGGTTACATATAGAATCCGTTGGTCGGAGGTCCTCAATTTCTCGTTGACCCTCCGCGGTCCGTCCATTTCCTACGACGTCAGTACTCCACATGAGATGATGAGACCCGACACTAGGCCGCGCCACGATCCCGCGAACGGGGCGCTAGTCAATGGTGAACTCCATCGGAGATGCAGGGCCGAAGGCAATCCGGGATCGCATTGCCTGCTTAGGCCTTAGGGTTGAGTTGACAAGCGGCAGCACAGGTATACCCAATTGAGCAAGACAATGACAGAACAGCATGCAAAATGAAAATGCCACAAGGACCTTATCTTATTCTTTCTGTTCACCTCCTCATGGCTTGGTGACTAGCTGATCGATAAGGGTTTCTTTCCATTGAGTCCGCATGTTCTCCGTACTCCGTAGTTGAAACTTGGCCGTTTCACCACTGACTTAAATTGCCGCCGGAGGATCGCCGCCTTTCATATTAGGTAAGCCGAGAAAAATCGGGTTGGCGGTGAAGCCTTCCAAACAGTGCCTGATCCTATTCGAGTTTAGTTCCTCCGCCACTTGCGTCTGATCTTGCACCGGGCTACCTAGAACTGATGAGCCTCGGAGCAATCTTGCAACTTCACTGCATTATTACTTCTGCTTCTTACTTTTCCATACAACGCAGATAACAATTGTGGTCCTTTCTCTTCTCCGGGAACAGTATCGTACAATTAGGCGGGCATCCTTATCTTCTTTCCCTTGCCCCCTCCCACGGACCTCCTCCTTTCCTTACACACCATTCTCTCTACACGCATAAATCAAGCAATAGGGCTCAAACCCCCTTTCAGAGCCATGTCTTCCCTCGCTTTCTCTACTCGCGAATTGTATTATGACGGAAAGACTCAGCCTGCTTCTTCAGGCAAAACCTTCCAATCTATCAATCCCTCGAACGCCAGTCCTTTGGCTGAGATCCAGGTTGCTTCACATTCCGATGTAGATGCTGCCATCGCTGCCGCCGACCGGGCCTTCCCCTCATGGTCTCAAACACCACCCATTGCACGTGCCCGCATCCTCCAGAAAGCCGCCGCCCTGCTCCGCGAGCGCAACGACGATATCGCTCGTGTCGAAACCCTTGACTCAGGCAAGGCTTATACTGAGACAAGCACTGTCGACGTCGTCACCGGAGCCGACGTACTCGAGTACTATGCGAATCTGGTCGGAGGTGGCGGGCTAAATGGAGAGACCACACAGTTGAGAGAAGATGCTTGGGTGTACACCAAAAAGTCCCCGTTGGGTGTCTGCGTGGGAATTGGAGCTTGGAACTACCCTATTCAAATGTTAGTCAGCCTTTACCCTCGGCCGCTCAATCCCCACCCTCCTTCCCGATCTGGAAGATGCTCAATGGACGATATCAATGGATGACAAGGATGGCTGAGAATATACGTGCAGTGCGCTATGGAAATCCGCTCCTTGCTTGGCTGCGGGCAACACCATGGTTTACAAGCCAAGCGAGTTCACGCCGCTGCATGCACAAACCTTGGCCGAAATCTACACGGAAGCCGGTCTACCCGCCGGCGTGTTCAATATTGTCTACGGCGCCGGCGACGTTGGGGCATACCTGACTGCTCATCCTACGATTGCGAAAGTTTCCTTCACTGGCCAAGTATCCACGGGCATGAAAGTGGCTGGATCCGCTGCCGGCAACATGAAATATGTCACCATGGAACTGGGCGGCAAGAGCCCCCTCATCATCTTGCCGGACGCAGAGCTCGAGAATGCCGTAGACGGGGCCATGATGGCAAACTTCTACAGTACGGGTCAGGTATGTACCAATGGCACTCGGGTGTTCGTTCCCGCTAGCATGAAGACCACGTTTGAAAGGCGCCTTCTGGAGAAGATGCAGTACATCCGTCCTGGGCCTTTGTTTGATGACTCAACCAATCTCGGTCCCTTGAGCTCAGCTGTACACCTAGAGAAGGTACTTTCTTACATCCGCCACGGCATCGAAACAGACAATGCTACTTTACTTTACGGTGGATTGGGCAAGCCCAGTGTCCCACAGGAGTTGGAATCAGGATTCTGGGTGCGCCCGACGGTCTTCACTGACTGCACAGATGACATGCGCATTGTCCAAGAGGAAATCTTCGGCCCTGTAATGTCTATTCTATCCTACGAGACGGTGGATGAAGCGGTCAGGCGAGCGAATACCACTGAGCTCGGCTTAGCCGCGGGGGTCTTTACCAAGGATTTGAATATGGCCCATCGCATTATTGACCAGCTGCAGGCGGGAATCACTTGGATCAACAGCTGGGGTGAGAGCCCTGCTGAGATGGCCGTTGGTGGTTGGAAGAAGAGTGGGGTCGGAGTTGAGAACGGACGCAAGGGTATTGAGGCATGGGTAAAGAATAAGAGCACCCTTGTTGATATGAATGGAGCGGTAGCCACTGTCTTCGCCAAGTTGTAATTGTGACATCTAAAATTGCATAGATTAATTCCTAGAATGCACAGTGAATCACGTACAAGCCATCTATGGACTGCGAGTAAGTGGATGACCACCCTCCCACTCTAAGTATAATTATAGCTAGTGTTTGATCCAGTGTAGGAATTTTCTACAGTACTGTACGAATTAACTAGTCCTTGACTCGAGCAATTTAGTCTGTTTGAGAAGGAAGTAGTAGTATTGTCCGAGATCGCGCTCAGCACATCCCACTGGCTAACAATCGCCAATCTATCACACCCTGGAATCTGTAGGTAGCCCATGAGTTTGGGCTTGAGCGCGCAATTCTTTTGCCGCCCAAGTTCAAAAAACAACCGCTTGCAGATGGTGCTTTTGTATGCTTCTTGTCTAGTAAAACAGAGCACAGCTGATCTCTACTCTCCGGCTAAACAATCTTCCATCTCAGCTTCTCTGCGAAGATGGCCTTTCCGAGGAATTTCAAACTAACTTGAGAAAGCCATGCACAGAGAAGTACAAATCAACTGAGTAATGATGTCAAGCAAACAATTGTATTCAGTCTTCCGCGGTCAGATTACATTTCCCTTTACCTTCGGCGGCTCTCCAGCAAAATAACTGCCGATCCAAATTCTGTTACTTCCCTAAGGCATCCGATCAGTGTGAGAGAACCCTAGCTCCCATGCGGTCGAAAAATAAATCGCCCTTTAATGCTGAATCCAGCCCGCCGATCGCCGAGTCAACCATTCGTGAGGACATACTGTCAGGTGTTAGTTCATCGTCTTCCATCGAGCGACTTAATTCCGTGTTGATTCTCAAATCCTTAGGGACCTTTTGTGGTGTAGTTTGCGGCGTAAGTTCCTGATGAGTTTTGCCCAACCCGACTGGGCCGGGAACGTACATTCGAGGTCGATAAGCAAGAGGTGGGCCTTGAGTGCGCGCATCTGTACCGGCTTGTTCAATAGACTCAAAATAACGCACTGTTTTGACCTTCAGCTCCAGAGTCGCATCTCGATCGCACACAATGAGTGGGTGTGGGTGCAACTGCAAGGCCGAGAGCGTCCACATGTGATTGACGCCCCCTTCAAGGCCTTTCTCCACTGCGAGAGCCTTGTGAGCACCGGTAGCAACTATCACCACCTCCCGTGCCTCCATAATGGTCTGAATGCCAACAGTCAATGCATGTCGGGGTACCTGATCCACATCATTGTCGAAAAACCGTGAATTGGCTAAGATCGTGTCATACGCTAGAGTTTTAACCCGCGTCCGACTGCTCAATGAGGAGCCTGGCTCGTTGAAGGCGATATGTCCATCGGGGCCCACACCACCTAGGAAGAGTTCGATGCCGCCGTACCGAGCGATTCGGGCCTCGAAAGAAGCACACTCGACTGCGAGATCCGGAGCGTTACCGTCAAGAATGTTAACATTCTGGGGCGGGATGTCCACATGAGAGAAAAAATGCTTATACATGAAGCTGTGGTATGATTCTGGATGATCCCGAGGCAATCCGACATACTCGTCCTGCTTCGGTCAACAAAGGCCCATGCAACTTCGCGGGAGGGAAAAATATACGTACCATGTTGAAAGTTACGACATTCTTAAAGGATATCTCGCCCTTCCTGTGCCGGCTCACCAGAGTCTTGTAGATGATCTCCGGACTACTTCCGGTTGGCAAGCCGAGTACAAATGGTTGGTTTTCAGTTGGTTGAAATCTCTGAATGCGGCCTGCCTGAAGATTAGATGTGGTGCACGTAAAGGTACGAGTCGCAGCACACGAGCCAACACGATCGACTTTTCAGGCCTCAGACTGGGGGCCGGGGGTTCATCTACATACTGATGATATAATCGGCAATATATTCCGAAGCCTCCAGAGCAGTGTTGCGGATGATAACTCGCCTATTCCGAAATAGAGTCAGTCTCGATCCACGTTTAAAGGATATGTAGCACCTTACATTATGAAAAATGTTCCGCTGTGCGGGGATACACTTGGCCAATGCCGGGAAAGGAAAGTACCAATGGGTATGAGTCAAGCTTGCCAAATGTAAATCCAGCTAGTGGACAAGTAGAAACTTGTGTATAGTGTATAGCACTGGAAGATATATCGAAACAGAAGAGGATGGGAATGGAGGGCGAAAAGAAAGCTGGGGGTAGCGTAGAGTTTAGTTCTAGCTCCTGGCTGGGGACGAGAATGAAAGGAATTGTAGCACTTTGTAAGTTCTTGAGAGTAGACAGAAGCGTGGCCACTAGCTTGCTGTCAAACCATGGCTCTTTAACAGTTTCAATTTATGGGGAACGAAAGGGGGGTGCGACAGAATGATGTTACTTCGGTCTGGACGTTTTTGTAAGTGACGTCCATCGAAATCATTTCGGCTCGGCACTTAGAATGATGCCAGGCCAGCCTACATACCCACTGATTTATCCTAAGCACCGTCTACTGAGCCTGTTGTATTTCTAGTAGTCATATGAAAGCATGTGCACTAGAGGCGTGGAGCTATCGATGACGCAGTGGCCATACCACGGAGAGATTACAGCTGCATGTGCCCCATTTTGTCACAGTTGCCATAAGATAAGTATGGAGGGGAACGACGAGCAGTGCATAAGAAAGAAGGCCTTTGTTACGAATAGCTTTGTCGGAAACCGAGCATGATAGATACTGTTACAGACAGAGGTGGCATAAGAGCGAAGGTCCACCGGTGATCCACCATCGTTATCTATAGAGTAGTGAGTTGAACTTTCAATTTGATAACTAAGTTGGTTATGAGACGTGACTTGACCTTTTTGAGAGAAAAAGAAAGGAAAGAAAGGAAAAATAGAAAAAGTTTTGACTGATCAATCACCAGGCTGTCAAGAGGCTGCCGTTGCATTCGGTCATGGCAGCAGGCCAAAGCTAAAAATTGGAAGAGATGGAAGTGTTTCATTCTACAGATCCATTCCAGCCATGCAACCCCTCGATGGCAGGGAGGAAGGAGTACGCAGGCCTGTTCGGTAACAGACAGGTTCGGTACTGCCTTTAACTTGAAACGGCAAGATTGTAAAGTAACCAGTACAGATACAGATGCTCTGTACTGTAAAATACTATGTATGTGTATACAGAAGATAACGCGGGGATATGTACTGTATGTACGGGCAGTACTCAATCCCGTGCGCATCTGACATTTATCTTGTCATCATGTGACCCTTGCCCGCATGTGCCAAGCACGGCACTGTTTGATTGGGGCTTTGGTCTGGCACCTCACACACTGTCACGTTCAGTTAGTAGTTACCAAATAAGTTACTGCATTACTGACTTGAAGTTTCTCCGCTTTGCAAATTTCGGGTCAAAGATCCAGTTATGGTGCCTCTCACTTATCTGATTTTGTAATCTCCCCCCGCCAAGTGCAGATATTAACTAATGAACGACTGGATTGATTGAATGGATGCGTGAAATCAAATGAATGAATAAATGAAAAAATGATTCCCATTTATTGGTCTCTCTAGCTATTCAACTGCCGGCTATCATCTCAACTGCTTGCTTCCTTGGTACTCCCGCCTCCACGCTTCATGTTTTTGTCATTCATGATTCCAAACCCATAATAAATTACTCCTACGGTACCTTTGCGACACACCCCTGGCTTTATCCAATTAGCAAAGCCTGCCTGCCTGCCTGCCTGGGGCTCCGCCTGGGGAACTCGGAGCTTGTCTAAACTGCCGTTTCTAGCACTATCCACCCCTCCCTTTTCCAAAGCCTCCGTTGACGTCGGCAGCTCATCATCATTGTTTCACTGCACACCCATCTTCGCCCTGGCATTATTGGCTTGGAATAGTTCTTCCACGTCGGGCCCTCATGGCCCCCAAAGAGATGCTGCCTCCTGGCTGGGAGGATCTAGACAGGTAGGTTTTAACCTTGGTCTTGGCATATCCTGCTCCTCTCGAATGTCCCTCACCATCTTCTCTGATACTGCTGCATTACTTGCACCGTTGGACTTGCCTTCCTGTCTCTCTATGTGTGTCTTCAGACGGGAGGGTGCGCCTCCTATAGCAGAGCCTTCCCCGAGCCATTTAGTAGGTGCGTAAGCAGTTCACTGCTGACAGTTGCGTTATTCATCATGGCGCAGGCAGATGGGGCAACTTTTCATGATGGGCTTCGATGGAACATCTGTCAGTCCTCAGATTCGGTCGCTCATCGAGAACTACCACCTCGGTTCGGTTCTGCTCTCTGCAAAAAATCTCAAATGTACTCATATACTCCCCTCCCTACACCGTCTTCATTGGGGTCTTCGTTGATGGCTTATTTCCCTCGGCCGCCCAATTCCGTCCTTAGACATAGGCACTGATATACATCTAGCTGCAGAAGATGCAACACGGTTGGTCCTTGAGCTGCAGACAATCGCTCGGGATGCTGGCCATCCGGTGCCTTTGCTAATCGCCATGGATCAGGAAAATGGTGGGGTGAACAGCCTGTACGATGATATCTACATCCGGCAGTACCCAAGTGCGATGGGTATTGCTGCGACAGGGTCCAAAGGCCTAGCCCATGAAGTTGCGATGGCGACGGCACAAGAGCTCAAAGCTGTAGGAGTTAACTGGATCTTGGGTCCTGTTCTCGACGTGCTTACCAATGTACGCAATCAGCCCTTGGGCGTCCGCACCACAGGAGACGACCCACAAGAAGTATCACAGTACGGCGTCGAATTCATGAAAGGCTATCAGAAGGCAGGGCTCGTGACATGCGGCAAGCATTTCCCCTCCTATGGTAATTTGGAGTTTCTCGGGTCTCAGACGGATGTACCAATCATTACTGAGTCCCTAGAGCAGCTTAGTTTGACCGCATTGGTACCATTTCGCAATGCAATCCTTCATGGTTTGGACTCGATGATGGTAGGGGGCGTTTCAATGTCATCGGCCGGAGTCAATGTGATGCACGCTTGTCTTAGTGAGCAAGTGGTTGATGATCTGCTTCGGAAAGACCTACAGTTCAAAGGTGTGGTCGTTTCTGAGTGCCTAGAGATGGAGGCCCTGACCCACAATATCGGCGTCGGTGGAGGGACGGTGATGGCCAAAAATGCCGGGTGCGATATCATCCTTCTTTGTCGCTCATTCCAGGTTCAACAAGAGGCCATCAGTGGCTTGAAGCTAGGTGTGGAGAATGGTATAATCGGGCGCGGGCGCATCGAGCAGTCGCTTCGCAGAGTGTTGAGCTTGAAAGCCAAATGCACGTCTTGGGAGCAAGCCCTCAGCCCGCCTGGTCTTACTTTACTCACTCAAATGCAGCCGTCCCACACAAGTCTGTCCACACGAGCATACAATGGTTCTATATCAGTTGTCCGAGACAAGCAGAACCTACTACCTTTGACCAATATTCTCGAGCAAAATGAGGAGCTGCTTCTCTTGACACCATTGGTAAAGCCGTTGCCTGCTTCTGCCGTATCGCGCTCCGTGAATGAGCATTTGAACGTATCTCTTGACCCGATCGCGTGGGATCGAACAGCATCTGTACTGAGTGGCGAAAGTGTCTTCAAAGAGCTTGGAAGGTCCCTTTCCCGACACCGCAGTGGTCGTGTTCTGCATACATCCTACACAGCCAACGGTGTACGTCCGATTCATGAGGATCTCATTGATCGGGCTAGCGCGGTCATTGTCGTCACCGCCGATGCCAACCGGAACTTGTACCAACATGGGTTTACTAGGCACGTGTCTATGATCTGTAGATCCAAATTCACTCCATCAGGCGAACCTCGTGAGAAACCATTAATCGTGGTCGCAGCAAGCTCGCCTTATGACTTTGCGATGGACTTGTCCATTGAAACATATATTTGCACTTACGACTTCACCGATGCGGCCTTGGAGGCCTTGGTTAAAGTACTTTACGGAGAGTTGACCGCCGTGGGGTCACTCCCGGGCTCTATAAGTCGCAGTCAAAAACTTCACCAGGCGAGGCAACACTGGCTGGTAGAGAGCTGGAATGAGGATAGGGATGCGCATGCTTTAGACTCCCTACTGAATGCTGTCCGAGAGGACTGTGTGCAAGGACAACGTCCGGAGTTGCTAGGTGTGACATCTACCAGCTTTCTGCTCCGCAAAGAAGAGATTGATGAGGCACACTTTGTGGTTCGCAACAGCAGTACCCAGGCTTTATACGGGTTCTGCTCCACGTATTACTTTCGATCCACAGGCACTGGCGTCATTGGGTCCTTGATCGTTCATCCCGCAAGACGGAAGCTATCTATCGGGAATTCTCTCCACAATCGTGCCATCCGAACTCTTCTGCACAGGAAGGGCATGAAACGGTTCCAGCTGGGCTCTCGCCTTCCGGGGATTTATCTGGGTATCCCGTCAGCAAACCCGGTGGACCGCAAGAGGCTGCGCCAATGGTTTGCGAACTTGGGCTGGAATACGGCCCTTTCACGGCCTGTTTGTAGCGCGGTACTGCGCAATTTGTCTTCTTGGACGCCAACGGACAGCTTGGTTCACGGCATCCAGAACGCGGATGTGGCCTATGATCTTGTTCATGGCTGGGACTATGCAGATTCGATTCTGGACCACATCAAAACGAACTCCAGGCAAGGGGTTCTAGATATCTACAAAGTGGCTTTGAGAGGATCCCCGCACTGTGGGATCATTCGGGCGACCCGCCCCGGTAATGGCGCTATTTTGGGCAGCGTAGTTGTCTACAATGGACGAGCAGCTTTAGCGGAGCACATGCCGGTTCTGAGATCGCTTCAAATTGCCGCCGGGGGTATCTCGTCTCTCGTCATCTCTCCATCGGTCGGCGAGTACGCTACAGTCATGCAGGGCCTGATCTTACTAGGCATCAAGCAGATCCGCAAGCAAGGTGCCGAGGCCGTGATAATGGACTGTGTGAGTTATTCTTCCCACATATGAAGTGGTGTGCAATGGGCGTTAGTTATTGACGATGTTTGCTACAGGTTGATGGTGACAGCAATCTTGATTGTCTTTCCGGCATGGGCTTCAGTGCTCTGTATAGCTTTGAAGAAATCAATTGCGATGCTGCGACATGGACCATGGCACCTTCCACGTAGAGGGTGCTTCCTGGGCAGCCTCAGCTTCAAGTTCTGTGTGATAATTTTGTATATAGTCTTCTCACCTTTGCATCCTGTGGTCCCCTCGCTGTAAAATATCAGTCAATACTGTCAATACATCGAACAAAGCAATTCTCGGCCGCATTCGGACTCGAGTTTTGGGGCTATAACCAGCTTCTTTGTTTTCGTTTTCTCGTTTTTGTTTTGTTTTCACCCTCTTTCCTCTTTCTCTGTTTTCGGGGAAAAGGAGAGGGGGGGGAGGGTGATGATGTCATCATAGCCACCGAAGAGGCGCAGAAGAGATGCAGAAGAGATGCAAAAGAGCCGTAGGTAAGCCGAAACAGCAATGTCAGTTGACCTCCGCCGGCGATGCAAGCGT